AAAAAAACAATAACAACGATTTTCCCAACGAAAAGAAACGAAATCAGGAGAGAGTCATCCTCGTTTACTGCACAAAAATTCTGTTTTTTGATCCAAAATTATCTCCGCCGCTCTTATTCGGACGAGGAAAGCCAGAGCGAGAGCCATGGCCAAAATTTGGGGTTGCGCAGCTCCACTTCTGGGGATTGAATGGAAGATGGCTGCTTTTTCCAAGCAATTTTTTGAGCAAAATCTCAAAGCGACTCTCCTTGCTCTTCTCTTTATACTAGGATTTCACCTCTTCAGAAAGTTGCGATCCAGATTCTCTAGGGGATCATCCATCGTCACTGCGGCTAATTCCCCCTTGCCTGGTTCTGCTTCTTTCCCCTTGCCTGGCTCCGCTTCCCGCTCTCCTGATTCGCAATCAGCGTATGGTTCTATTATTTCTTCCTAAATTTGGTTATTCAATTCTCTGCTTTTGAGGGTCTGGCTCCATTTAAATTACGGAAATTTCAAGTAATTTCTCAATCAAGTTCAATCTCTGCTGTTCTGCTTTGTTTTTGGATGGCAATTCTCACTTAATCGGGTTACTATTTCTTTTATGCATTATTTAGCTTCTGAAAGAATATATTTGATTGATGACTGATAGCCTAACAATGCCCAAATTAGATATTTGTTTGTTTTCATTTTCTGTAATTGAGCTTTTTTCTCATTTGTGTAAACTTGTTTCAGAATCTGTATTATAATTTGGTTTTCTGATTTTCACCCTTAAACTGATTTCCTTTTTTTTTGCCATTTTTTTGGGGTCTTGTTTTCTATCAAAAACTGATTCTGAACTAAATTATAGTACTGGTTATATTATTTTTTTTTAACTCTTTTTAATTTATATTTGTTGGATTTTATTTATATTGCCATTTTGTTAAGTGTTGGTAGTTGGCATCTGGTTATATCTGTCTACCTCAGTTTATTGATGTGGAAGTTTGTTTTGTTACTGCAGAATCCAAGACATTGTTTCTGAAGCAGATTTGAAGTTTTTGATTGAAAATTTGGATGGGAACTTCCATGAAACTGATAGATGGGAAGGTGTCATTAATAAAAGAAATAACCTTCTATTCTACAATGCAAAATGCTGCAAACCTAAGGTTTCTTCTACTTTGCCTGCATAATCTTTTTTGCCTTTATAAGCTTTCCATGCTTCAAATCAAATGGATATGTTTGCTTCACTCTTCCTGTTATAAAATACATAAGTTTATTTATAAATCCATTGCCAGTACCATAGACTATGGTTTGAATTTGAGCAAATTATATATTTTTAAAAGCCTGTCACAGCCAATCCTTTCACCCATTCCTCTCTTTCCCTCTAGCAAGTTGCAGAGTGCAACAGAATGCAAAATCACTTAAATTTATTTACTTAGACAGCAACAGCAATTGCTTGATGACAAGATAGAAAATTTGTATTCTTTGGTTTTCTGAGGCAACTATGGTATCAAAGAAAATGATCCTTAACTTTATTTAGTTTATGATTTTACTGTTTTAAAATGTCTGGTAAAAGGATATTCTTTTTATCTAGTTTGGGTTTCTAATTCTGTGGAGGGAGACAACGCCATTTTAGTTGGACTGCCGTGTCTGATATCTTGATTCTTAGTGGGACTTATCTTCTATACCACTAAACTGGTTTAGCAAAATGTAACCTATTTTTCTTTCATTTCTTGTAGGAGGGCCCCCTCAAGTACCTAAGTGTGACAGTATTTGAGAATTGCTCCCCAAAGACTCTAAGGGATTTCTATATGGACAATGAATATAGAAAACAGTGGGACAAGACCATTGTTGAGCATGAGCAGCTGCAGGTGGACAAAACAAATGGAATTGAAATTGGATGCACAATAAAGAAGTTTCCCCTATTGACACCTAGAGAATATGTATTGGCTTGGAAATTGTGGGAGGGAAAAGATAAGACATTCTACTGTTTTATCAAGGTGACTGTCACTGAAATTCTCTCTCTGTTTTTTCCCCTAACATGATTCCTTGTAGTTGTTTGTTCCTTTGTTATTACATTAGTTTGTGAATATAGTTGTAAGCTTGTAATTGCATCTCTTTCTCTAACCATTTTGCTACTCTGTCTACTGACAGGATTTTTATGGTTTAAAATATGGAAACCACATTAGAAAGATTCTTGGGCAAGAATTTGAGATCATCAAATCTGAAGATACCCCTGTTTGCTTGTAGTACCTTGTACTAATATTTGCTTTTCTATTTATTATTCACATTTGGATTTTACTTTTTTTTCACTGAAATAATGAAATTTGATGATTGAATTTTGTTTACCTATTACCATCAATATGATATGTTTGAGGCCATAAATATATAGGGAGCCAATTTATACTTGTTAAGGTATCTAATGTACAGTTATGATTGGTAGAGAGGACCAACCTGAATATATGGCCACAACAAACATTTAAACTGATATTGATGACATAACTAGTTAGTAGTCCATTCAATCCCCAAGTGTAGCTGTAGGCCTGATAGACAAATTGAAACAAAACAGCCTACCACTTGGAATATGAAAGCAGGGTAACAATTGGTATAACAAACAACTTGGACTGTTATTCCGTGATGAAAAAGTTGTCACAGAAGGAATTCAGACTCTTGAACCTATAATAACCCCTTTAAACCATGAACTACTGGCCAGAGACCTATTGATAACTGTAGTATTATTGACAAAAAAAAAAAACAGAGATAATCAGTATTGGCCAGCTGTAACTAGTGGCTGACTGAAAGTTGTGTAGTTGTGTCTAGAATAATTTCCACTGTGTTGAATTATAGTTTATGTTGGAAAACTACCATTGAAAATGCAAAGGGTTTCATGACTTTGAAATTTATTCATTGAGTAATATGTCCTTTCTTTGACACTGTCAATCATTTCCCGAGCTTACTGTCTCATTATTGGTTTTTTATCTCAATCTTATAACCATGATTAGGAATGTGAACATCCTTTGGCACCGCGACAGAGGAAGTATGTGCGCGTTGGGTATTTTAGATCTGGCTGGCGAATAAGGAAAGGCAAGTGGCTTGTTTGTGTCTTTTCAACATTCTCTCTTTGCCTTGAAAAGGGGGGGATCTTTCTCAAATATGAATGTGAAAAGCTTCATTAATGCGTATAACATATTATCCTTTAGAATTTGAAGTGTGTATGCTTGATATTTCGGTTATTCTTGATCATTCTATGATTCTCAATTTATTTAATATTATTATTACAGTACCTGGTAGAGATGCCTGTGAGATCAAAATGTTTCACCAAGAAGATGCAGGTTTGAATGTGGAACTGGCAAAACTTGCTTTTGCGAAGGGTATATGGAGTTATGTCTGTAAGATGGATAATGCACTACGTAAGTACTCTCCAGTCAGTCATCCCCAGATGACTCCAGTTGCTTCTGCACTCACTTTACTTCAAAAGGTCTGCAAATATATTTTTTTTAATCTTCAACATCAAATATATTTATTTTGAACTGCACTCATGTTGGTTGTGTTCTAGTCTTTTGTAATTGTTCTATTAATATTTCAATTTCTATAGAAATTGGTTACAGTAGATTGGATTTTTTTGGCCCTTGATGATATGTGTATGTTTCTGATGATTTTCTATAGCTCATTTGCACATATTTTTGGACTCTAGAAGTTCCCTATGTAACTTGTGATACTATCAAATGATACACTCTTTTATCTTGGTTACCATTTCTTAGAAGTAAATGAAATTAAGTTATACTTGCCAGAGTTACAGAAGAAGCAGAGTCAAAAGATCATGTACCATAGCAACCTAGGATTGGTGCCCTCATGCTCAATGAATGCAAGAGTAAATTTGTTTAACAGTCTAAACTTTCTTTTGTAAATTTCTGAGCCAACTAAAGGTCTTTGATTGCCCTTTTGAACAGTGTAACTTTTGGTTTTAAAAGAATTTATGAAAAATCAACCAGGATTGTGGTATTCTTAGTCACTGACATTGTTATCCTCATGAAGGTTCCACCTGCACTGGATATGACAGACATAACAAGTTGTCAAGCAACCCCTGGGGCAACAACTGCTCATAGACAATTTAGAGGTGCATCCAAAGAGAGAACATTGTGCAGAAGACCGACAAAGATATTGCTAGCAAATGGTTTGCTTATTCTTGGGGGTGCAATCTGCCTGTCTCGTGGTCACTCTGCACTTGGTGCTAAAGTTGCAATGGCATACATCTTGACAAAGCTGAGAAAACGTGGTGCTTCTTCAAGACAAAACAGTGAAAGTCAAGGCACATAAAGATGTTGCCTCTCGGCAACTATTTATTGGTGGTTTTAATAAACTTCATGCATAGTTTTTTGTGAACTCTATTGCACAAAGTCTGACTAGGAAGATGGAGAGCAAAACTAGAGAGGTGAGTTCTGCTAGATGACTTAAATCTTCCATGTCTGCAACCATGGTGTAAATAACTATATATAGTCTGTCACCTAAGAGCCTCTGTGATAACATCTGTTACAGGTTTAGTCTTCAAGCCTTTTTTTTGTCAGCATAATCTTCAGGTATATTTATGCAAATTACAGTTGATTTTGATGTACTGAGTTATGCTTTATTGGTGTAAATGAAAGTTGATATTCTCATATTCAAGTTTGACTTTGTTAGATCTTCTCTAAACGGAGCAGATATTCTTGTAACGAAATCTTGCAATAATAACATAGTATTTAGCAAGTAAAAATCTTTAATTCATTCATTGATCAAAACCTTCTAACATCTTAAGAAAAACTTTTTCATGAATTTTTATTTTTAGAAATTGAAATCGGGGATCCTGTCTTATAATTCAGCCTGCACCGAACTGTAAACCATGGATCCCGAGAAAGCTCCAATGTCAAGGGCTAACTTCCTCTTTAATGGTTAATGTAGTGCAATTTGATATGGTCTAAATTGCATTATACTTTTGATTGAAATTAGCTTAAAAAATAGAAGCACTTCCTAAAAATAAGCCAGTTTCTATAGGATACAACAAACATGCTGATGAGATAAACTCCTTCGAGAAAATTTTTGGTTGTCGAAACAAACTTAACAGAAACTTGTCCACAATATTTGTCACATGTTTCCAAACAAACGCATGAAGTGCATTTTCACGCATTGAATTCGCATTGGCATTCGCAAGAAGTTTTCTCCTAATTTCTCGTTCTCTACTAGAAAAGCAGAAGTAAATGCTTCTCAGCTTTCTTAGCTCTCTGTTTCTCTCTTTTCTAAATTTAGCCACCATTCTCACCAACAAACTCTGTCACACCAAATTACAACAATTCCATTTCCTTTTTTCCAGTTGTCATTCATGCCTGGGTGAACGTCTTGTTTCTCTTTTCCTTTTCTCTGTTATTCATTTATTTCATCTTCCTCCTCCGCCTTACACCTCGAGAGAGACACTCCCCCGCCCCCACATTGCTTTTGCACTTTTTGCGCAATAGGGTCTCTCAAACATGCATTATATTCTTTTGGGTTTCCTTCTTTTGTCTCTTGGAAGCCTGACTTCCTTGGTCTTTTCATCCACCGATTCCCAAGATGGTACGTATAATTTCTCTAGCCTGGCTTCCTTTTCTCTGCCTTTTCTTTTTGTTATCTCTTTGATGCATTTTAAATGTGGTAAAATGGGTAGTTTTTAACTCGAATTTTCAAGGAACTGCGCCTTATTTGTTGGGGAAAATGCCTTAAAATTTTGTTTTCTGGTTATTATATGTCAGTATTTTCTTTCCCTGTCTCTTGGTTTATTAAGTGTTTACCTATATAATCACAAGCAGAATCAGATTCAAGTTTTTTGTTTTCCCATAATAGTTAAAATGATGTTTTGAATCAAGGTTATAATTCTGATCATTCCCCCCTAAATTATTCAAGCTCACGATGTATGCTTCTTTTTTTCTTCTTTTTTGTTATTATTATTATTTTTTTAAAATTTAATGCAGTTTCTGCCCTTAATGTGATGTTCAAATACTTGAACTACCCTTCACAATTGAGTGGCTGGAAAGCAAATGGTGGTGATCCTTGTGGTGATTCTTGGGAGGGGATCGGATGCTCGGGCTCATCTGTGACTGAAATGTACATATTTTCCAAATCTATGTTTCACATATCTCAAGGGAGCTTGTGAAATCAGCTTACAGGTCATATATTTAACCAGATGCATAAGCATGTTAAATTTCTCATTAGCCATTCTCTCTGTTTAAAATTTTACAGAAAGTTATCAAACTATGGACTCAGCGGACAATTGGGCTACGAGCTGTCAAACATGAAATCTGTCCAGAGCTTGTAAGATTGCTTCTGCTAGAAGCTTGAAATTTTATTTTATATATATATATATATATATATATAATTATCCTGATGAACTTGACCTGAAGGCTATGCATCCTTTTTTTCCTAGTATAGTGTTTTGAGCAAGAACAGCCTCAGTGGTGAGATACCATATCAGCTGCCTCCTAATACCATTCACATGTAAGTCAGCAAGTAGATAGAAGTTGTCATGTACTGGGATTTCATATGTGGACGAAATTTGCTTGCACATGGATTGAGCACACACATATATCATAATGCAGTTTGGCTTTACTTCATGAACTTATCCTAATGATATATTTTCCGTTCATCACTATGTTTGAAAGTGGTGAAATTCTTGAGCTTTGGATCAAAAGGAAGAAATTCCTAACTTTGAAGTTAAGATACTTTACTAGATCTGGTCAATGGTAACCTTTAAAAGGATTGAAAAATTACTCATACTGCTTGTTGGAACTGTCTTCTGTTATCTACTTGACTTCTAGAATGTAGACATTTTTTGTTCTCTGTGTAATGACTCTAATTACATTTATTGGAAATATTATTCACATCTTAGAGTACCTAACTTCACTGAAGCCTTTCTATGATGATGTTTGAATTAAGATTTTCAAGAAGTTCTGTAAGGAGAGACCTTTATCCTTGTTTCACTTGGCTGTCCACATACCATCATATATAACCATGATCTCATTTTACAGAGACCTTTCAAACAATGGCTTCACTGGTACAGTACCTTATTCAATATCTCAGATGACTGGCCTTCAAGACCTGTAAGTCAAAAGGTTAAAAATTTCCTAGAAGTTTCAACTGTCATAACTATTTCAGCAGCAGTAAATATTTCTCAATATTTGGTTTGTGGCTGCAGAGATGTTAGCCATAATCAACTCAATGGAGAGTTGAGTGATATGTTTGGAAGTCTTTCAAAACTTAATTCAATGTAAGTATATCAAAAAGGTGTCCCTTTTTTATTGTTTGCTAAGATTTGGATTCAAGTGGATTAGGCTAGCTTTTTAGATATAGAGGAAGTAATAATTTTCCATATGCAGCAAACAATTTCTTCATGGTACATCCTTAAACACAGCCTTTTCCAAGTATCTTGTGTGTGTGAGTGTCTCGGTGGACTATAGAATAGAACTTTAGTGGAAGATCTTATATACAAGTAACATAGAACTTTATGTAAAATGTGAGCCATATATGATAGAAAACTGTAGTTGATTGGCGATGGATTTACTGGACCAAACTATTTATTTTCTAAGTCTCAGACATTAATGCTCCAATTCTCAGTTATCAGTGCTAGGTCAGGTCCTAAACTATGAAGAATTCTGAAAAGGAAACGCTCTACAGACAGAAGCCAAGTAGTGGCAGGGAAAGGGAAATGGATATCTCCTTATTTAAAATGTCAAGAGTGATGCATGGAAATGAAAAATTGTAAAGAATATTTTGGTTTTAGTTTGAACTTTGAACATATATTTGAGAAAATATCTTTTTCTTGATTTATTTCTTTCTCTTGAAGTCTTCCTCTTTTATATTCTTATTTTTTAGTATCCAGTGCTTTAGACATGATGATATTATGTTGTTTACAAACGCGTGACCTGACATTCAGGGATCTATCCTTCAACCAACTTAAAGGCAATCTACCTCTCAGTTTTACAAATCTTACAAGTTTAACCTCATTGTAAGGAGTAAAACTGTATACTTCTCTTTGCTTCTTCTAACAAGCTTGTAGTTCTTTGGGGCTAATATTTTGAGATCTTTATACAGGCATCTGGAAAACAATAAACTCACTGGTTCTATAAACGTCCTAAGAGCCCTTCCACTCAATGAACTGTATGTAGTCCAGCATCTCACATTTTTAAGTGATTGTTTTCAATATTTATCTTCCACTCAGTATGCATAATGAAAATCTGTGAGTGGACCTTATAAGATCAATCCACTGTTCTTCTGGCAGGAATGTTGAGAACAACAGATTTACTGGCTGGATCCCTGATGAGTTGAAGGATATCAATAACCTACAGTAAGAATCCTGTAAAACTTACCTTCATCTTAGAATGCATTGCTTCAAAAGTTATTTTCCTAACTTTGGAGTCCTTTTTTTAAAGAACTGGTGGGAATTCTTGGTCAACTGTTCCAGCTCCTCCCCCTCCACCCGGTGTTCACCATCATTCTCATAATGAAGATGAACAAAAGTCAGCCGAAGGTGGGCTGAAATCTGCTGTGAGCGTAGTAATCATAGGGGCAACATGTCTGGGTGTACTGCTTGTGGTTGCTCTTCTGATTGCTCTAATCTCAAGGAGAAAATCATCTCCCTCTTCACATTTTCTTGACGAAGAGATGGGAGACCAGCATAAGGGATTAACTTCTGGGAAAACACAGGAGTTCTCCACTGAGCTGTATAAGGGCATTTCAGAAGATGAAAAAGGTATTCAGTCATGGTAAAGAAGATAGTTTCTCAGAATACAATTTCCGAATCAGTAAAAATTGTTTTGTCATCTGATGGACTTTCCAGCAGATTTTTTCACTACTGACTTCATCTTTCTTTGTCAAATAGTGTTTACATGTTTGATTCCAAACATATGTTCGGTATCATTTTTCACCTTCTGAATTCAGTATGGTTGCTGAGCAACTCATTACATGGTTCAACTGATTAAATAATATGCCAATGACAGATCATAAGCAAGTTGATTCAACTACCTCAACTGCTATCAAGTCTTTGCAACGAGCCCCTTCAATGGGTCTTAAGACTTCACCTTCTGGTCGTGTTAGCTTCAGTGACAATGAGTTTGCAAGCCATTTGATTGTCAGCAGAAGCACCTCTGTTCGTGCTGTACACTATTCTTTGGCAGACTTACAGAGTGCTACTGCCTATTTTGCAACAGGCCGCCTTCTGGGTGTGGGATCTATAGGACGTGTTTATAGGGCTAAATATGAAGATGGAAAGGTTGGCTTCTTTCACTGGCACTTCATTCATTTTGGCACTCTTTAATTGTCTTAAGAGGTCACTTTGTGTCCATATATTTATTCACAATTACCACTAAACTTCTGACTTGGATCTTCTATGAACTGATATCTATGACTCCTTTACTCATAAGATGCAAAACTAAAATTAAAGTTGATTTGTTGTTGGCTATTATTTACAGTTGATTGGCTGTAACAGGCAGGCTTCTAATGATCTTCTCTGCAATTCGTTTGTCAGATTTTAGCTGTGAAAAAGATAGATTCATCTCTCTTCAATGGCAGGCGCCCTGATGAGTTCTCGGACATTGTGGCATCCATCTCAAAGTTCAACCATCCAAATATGGCTGGACTTGTTGGCTACTGTTCAGAACAGGGGCAAAACATGTTAATTTATGAGTACTACAGGAATGGCTCCCTTCATGATTTTCTCCACAAGTCACACGATTTCAGTAAACCACTGACTTGGAACACCAGAGTGAGAATTGCTTTGGGCACGGCCCGGGCCATTGCGTAAGTGGATGCATTTTTTTCATTTTGGTTGCCAATTTTATTTGTTTTTGGTTGGTCTGCTTGTGGGTTATACAGAAAGGAAAAGTCCTTTCTTTTCTAAACTACTCCCCACTCATCCCCAGGCTTTGAACTTGAGACCTCTAAGAATGAAGAATCTATTGTCCAATTCTAAATCTGTAATTTGTATGCTTGCACAAATGGATACAGGATGTGGTTACTTTGTTCTTCTTCTTCTTCTCTCTCTCTCTCTCATGATAGTTTTATATTGCAACATGACTGCTACCTTAATCCATTAATCCTTTGAAGACATTGCCTTTTTATTCAGGTATCTCCATGAAGTTTGTTCTCCTCCATTAATTCACAAGAACATCAAGTCATCTAATATTTTGCTTGATGCTGAACTGAATCCTCATCTCTCTGACTACGGTTTGGCAAACTTTCATGAGGTAATTAAATACTTGTATGATTCCTTTATCATAAGTACAGTTGCTGGTAAATTGCCATAGCTGATCACTTTTCCTTGTTATTCGATATGACTGGTCTCAAAAGTTAAATCTATACCGTGTGTGTCCATTGTAGTCTTTCTGATTGATTGAAAGAAGAACAATGCATGCCAGTTTCCAAATGCCTCATGACATCTTTTTAGATGTCTCAAGATAACTTCTCCATAATTTTAAAGCAGGATATACCCATTTTGGTTTTGGCTTTGGTTGCTCATAAAAATGTGTTTCACTTTTTTCTGTGTTTCTTTTAGCGCACAAGCCAAAACCTAGGTGTGGGATACAATGCTCCAGAGTGTACAGACCCTTCAGCCTATACACAAAAGAGTGACGTCTACAGTTTTGGAGTGGTGATGTTGGAACTATTAACCGGGCGGATGCCTTTGGACAGGTGTGCACTAAACTCGTGCTACAATCCTTTTATTAGCTATTTTGGTTCCTGCAAACTTCACGTCTGAACCATTCTATTGCTTTTTCCATTACAGTAACAAACCAAAATCAGAACAGTGCCTGGTGCGATGGGCTACTCCACAGCTACACGACATTGATGCATTGGGAAGAATGGTAGACCCTGCCTTGTGTGGACTATATCCTACCAAGGCTGTCTCACGATTTGCTGATATTATAGCACTCTGTGTACAGGTACAAACCCAACGCTACTTATAGAATTAATGTTATTCTGGTGTACATGTTGGGAAAATCTTATAGAATCAATTTTGTTGGTGCTATGATACTGTTCATCTACAAGAATTATAACTGCTACAATTTTCTGTTGGGGCATGTTTGTCCAGGTGGAGCCGGGAACCCGGCCTCCCACATCACAGGTGGTGCGGGAATTGTTGCTTTTGGTTCAGCATACAAGCATGCAGATGAAAGAGGAACTTTCATCTTCTCGTCGGACAGAAGACTCTGACTATTAATTGATTTGTTCAGTTCATTCTTCTATTCGTATACATGTTAATTAAACAGGTTAATTTCAATGAAGAAAAAGTATGTTCCTTTTCATTCTACTCCCTCCATTATTTTTAATTAGTTGTCTTGTTGTTTCTCTACAAGTTTCAAAGTTTTTAATTCAATTAAGACAATATTCAATTTAAATTTTTTTTAATTATTAAAATAATTGTTATTATTTAATTTTAAATTTATATTAAATTAATTATTTTTATTTTTTAAAATAAATAAATAAAATTTTATATTAACTTTATTATTTATTTATTTATTTTAATTAATTATTTTATCATAAAATATCTTATTTTATTTAAAAATTTTTAAAATAGTATAAATAAATCTATAAATTATCTATAAATTTTTAATTAAAAAAATTAAAAAATAATGATTATTTTTATTTTATAGTCAGAGTAAGTTCCTATCGATTGCACCTAAAGGTCGGGTTTTAATCTCTTGAGACATTCCAATCGTGTCCATCCCGCCCATTAGTTCTGTTTCAGTAGTGGGAGACAAAGTGGGACAAGACAACATTAAAAAAAAAAAAAAACAATTCCTTGAAATTAAGACTAAAGCAAAGGATTCTTAGTGGGGCATCATGTGTGATCAAAATTAAAGTGTAAGGATTGTCTTAGGAAGGCATCATGGGTAATAAGTAGGGGTGGGCAAATGCCGATTTCGGTGAAAACCGATACTGAAAAGTAACCAGCGGACTTTTTTTTTCCTCTTTTTTTTTTTTTCATGACAGAAACCAATAACGGAATGCTTTTATTTTTTCAGTATTGGCTACCGAAAATATCGGTATTGGATACCAACAATTTCGGTATACCAAAAATTTTGGC